GGGGGCGCGGGGGGCGCGGGGTGAGCGCGGCGGTGCGGACACCCGCCCGGAGCCGGGGGAGCAGCCGGGCTGGCCGTCCCCGGGTGAGCCCGGCCCCCGACTGAGCCCCGTGTCTTCCTACCCGGGGTTAACTCGGCGGGGCCGCCGCCGGCCCTCAGCACCCGGCGCGGCCGGTCGGGCCTGGGCGGGCTCGGGGGTGTCTGGGGCCAGCGGCTGCGGCAGTCCACAGCCTGGTGTCCCCGTGCTGTGCTGGGACAACGGCGCCCTATTCCTGCTTGTTTCGGTCTTTACTTTGTGCCACAGCTAGTGCCCCTATGCGTAAGAGCATGAAACAGGCAGCTCGGACCTTGGGATCTCTTGGAAGAACGAGATTACACGCCGATCCGTGATCTTCCAGTGACCCGCCAGGTCTGTTCCCTGTCAAAGCAATTTACACTCCATTATCCTAGCTGCGCCTGGACGACCTGTTGACTTAGGCAGCTTGCTGCAGGGGGTTTAGCAAGTCAAGAAGTATGTTGCAAGTAACATTTATTTTTGTTTTTAAGTTCCGTTTATTATTACATGGGTTGGTCTTGGTACAAAAGTATCACACTGGCCACCCTCTGACATTAACTTCCATCATACATAAGCTGATCACACAACGGCTGAACTGGTAGAAGAGTTCATAGACGAGAAGGAAATGCACAGAAGCAGATGCTGCATCTTTCTGCTTCTCTTCTTTGGCAGCCTGGAGACGGTTCTTTAAATTTTCTGTCTCCCCATCTTAAGTGCTATTTTGTTGAGAAATGTTGTTGAAGAAGGTTTTTAAAAGCGTTTCTTTAATCAGAAATACTTTGGAGATCAGCAACTAGCAGGAAGTTTTTAAAGCATACCCTAATGTCTTCCATGGTGTTCTCCCTGTCTGGTAAAGTATCAGTTTCTCCTTTTCTGGGAGCAGGAACTTGGAGAATGGACTCTTGTTGGCTAGGACAGCTCATTTAGCTTTTCTCTGTCATCCTCCTGCAAAGCTGACACTCATCTAATTTTTTTTAAGACTGTCAATAACTTGCTGAAGTTTCAGTGACCTAGTTTCTAATCTAATTATTATTGTAATTTTCATGGCTGCAGTGTTCTGAAGGGGTCATAGGTGATTTTTGAAGAAAAGGCATTGATAACTGCTTGTGCTGCTACACTTATTTTCTCATTTTTATGTATTTGTGAATGAAGGGCAAGTTAGTTGAAATTCTAGACTGGATTTCAACAATAATTTAGGGGATTGTGTTTAGTTCTTTACTATGAATATATGAGAATTTTTAATAGGAGTCTTAACTTCATGTTTTTTAGCAATTTTTTTGAAAACAGAATGACCAAAATGTAATATATTATACAATTTGGACTTTGTAAGAAATGTAGATTATTTAGATAATTTATGTAATCTGTCTAGTCTTCTCAACTGGTAAAACTTCAGTGAGTTCTGCATCCAGAACTTGCATTCAGCAAGAATAGCTGACCCATTTGAAGGAGTTCACAAAATAGCAGTGGCAGTTGGAGATGAAGAAAGCATTATCTCTGCAGAAAAAGAGAAAGATTTATTTAATTCAAAGACAAGATTGAAGCTAATATCTAATAAGTGTTTAAAGTTGTAAAATGTTCTGCGCAGAAGAAAAGGAGCAATTTTTTTCTCTGTATTCACAGCAAATAAGGGAAATTAGAAGAAAATTCCATTTAAGTATTAGGGGAAAAATTAATAATAAAAGATAAGAAGACAATGAAATAGTTTGGAAAGGCTGTAAAATCTTTATCAAAGGTCTCTAAGAGAAGATTAGACCAATGAGTTCCAAAGAAAGGGTATTGAGACTGACTTGTGAAGGAAGTCTTAGGACTCCGCTACTGGTTTTACTGGGACTAAATAATAGAAAAGAGTTTGAAGGTTATCAGACAATAGCCGTGGAAGACTATAGGCTTTTAAACACTGATAAATCTGCATGCTACTTGGGAGGCAAGCATGAGCTCACACAAGGCAACTGACCTGAAAGCAGTACAGCCACAACACATGTGACCTAGTACTAAGATAAAAAGGCCTAGTCAGGGCCTGACACTATTGAAAAACTTTTTATCTTTATGTAGGCACATTTTGTTGAAGAAGAACAAGATGCCTCTTAATAGTCTTCACAAACCAAGACAAATGAAAGTTAGGAAAATATATCCAAAACACTAAGGTTAAAATGCATTTAACAAAAAAAGCTTTGAAATACTGTGTTCATATGCATTTATTTGAACTTATGTGCAAAACAAAATAAAAGTGCATGCCAGTGTGATAAATGAGAAACACGATATGTATAGAAACCTCTGCAATATGTTAACATGCAACTATAGAGTTTCCTCTGTCCTTTGTGAGGACTGCAAAAGACACACACATGCAAATTTTTAATACACCTACTTACTTTTTAAATATTCCTAGGCCAGAAAAACACTTCAGCCTGCTGTATCATAGTATTAAAAAAGTATCCACTTGAGTTGGATTTTTTCCATGTAGTTCACTCTTGGTTGCACAAAACACAGAAAAATACAACCATGTCATTACACATATACTATGCACTCATTTCTCTTATGTAAGTGTAATTTTAAATAAGAGGTATGTGCTGAGCTAAGAAGAACCTCTTAAAGGGTATAACTAGATAAACAAAATAAATAAATAAAAGACCTTTTATTGTGCAGTAAAGCTTGGAAGATGTTATATAGATGAGGAGGATGTTTACATCAGCTCAAATGCCAGTGATCCTTAGAGAGCCTTTGTTTGCATGACTTGAACCTTGTCTTTTAAATATAGCAGGTGCATTTACTCATCAGTCTTTTATCTGATTGTTGAGAGGTCTATCCCCAAGTGGTTTTTGCCCTGCTCCAGTCATCAGCTTCAGATGAAGCAACTGTTCGAAAGGTAACAAGACATTCTCTTGGAACAGAATGTATATAGAGACATAAATATATCATTTCGATAAAAAAAAATACAGCATAAAAAGTGATGCAAGGTATGTATCATCTCACATCAAGAAGGTATTTGAGTAGGTGAGGATATGGCTGTACCTAAAAATAATGTCTGAGCTGGCTGCATGCAAAATATCTTTCAGTCCATCCTGGTTGATCTTAGATTAGAGGCTCACACTGAACTGTTGTAAAATTAAATTCATTCTAGAAGCATGTTGTGAATTTGTGAAGAATAAATTAATTAGAACAGCTTTAAAGTGTTTGAGTGATATAAAGAAATTCATAACTGATAATTATTCTCTCAATACCCTGTGGTGCCCAGTGTTATAACAGCAAAGTGATACAAAGTACTTCTAAAAATTATCAGAGAATGAATTTACTTTTTAAAAAAAATCATTCATAGACAGGTTCATTATTTTATATGTCACATTCTGAAATGTGTCTGATACAGAAAGTAGCAGCACTGACAAAGGTAGGTTAGTAAAAATTAAGTTTTGGTTAAGTAAAAACTGAAGTTCTGCTTAAGTCAAAGTGTTTGAATTGTTCAATTTTTGTCGGGAACAAAACAGATTACTAGTATAAGTTCTTAGTTTTTTATGTGTATCTTTCATAATCTCTTGCGTGTCTATCTAAGATTCGTTAATGGACCCTTAATATTGTAAGGAAATATTTAATGTTTGCCTTAATTTCATTTCTTAAGCTGAGAGTGGATCTGATTGTTAAAAACTGCATGTATACTTGAGCTCGGAGTCTGCTGTACGTACATGTTTCTGCTTGTCCTTGTCAAACTATATTTCAGACCTTTATTTTTGTAGAAAAGTAAAAAATGCAATGAATGAAGACCTCAGATGTAAATAAAATATAATTAGTAACCTCTCTGTGTGTTGCATTGTCTTTGATCAAATCAGAAAACAAGGCAGAAAAAGGAAAGGTAGAAATGGGGAAAATACAAAAGTCTGTATGTTTCAACAAGGCAAACTGCTCTTCAGACAGCCTTTCGTGAAGACCTCACAGTTTCTTTAGTTAGTGAATACTAAAAAAATTTAAATGTCAAAATAGTTGCAAAATTAGATGTTTGGACTCTGAAACTTTTTACACTGATATTTTAGTTTCATAGCCCATTGTGCCCATCAATGAGTGCTGTGCGCTTTAGCACTTGGAGTAGGCCTAACTCTGCTATAGGGCTTGAGTTCTCATGTAGATGAAAAAGATTTTCTTTTTTTTTTCTTTTTTTTTTTCTTTTTTTTTTTTTATGTAGCTAGCACAAGGGGGTAAAAACATAAGTACTTCAAAAGAAAAGTTGGAGAATCTTTGGAGAAAACATGACAAAAGGGAAAGACTTTGGAAGAAGCTAGAGAAGACCAGAGAGACAATCAGGACGCAGCAAGACAGAAAAAGAGAAAAATAGAATATTTTTCTTGTCCTTCTGGTGGCTTATGTAGGTTCTGTTTCACAAAGAGGTTGATAAAGGTCCTTGAAAAATGTTTGCACCAGTAGTGCTCATCCTTGCACACAAAATAATTTAAGGGAGCAAGCCTCCAGGGGCGTGTTGAGAAAAGAATCTGTCATCTATAGTTCTATGTTGGCATTCATTATTGTTATGTGACATTATATGTGTGTATGTTTATTTATTGCTTAAGGTAGCAATGACTTATTGTTATGGACATATTCCAGAAAAACTGGAGTTCTCTTGTCTTTTGTCCAAATATTGGACAAGCTTTTTGTTTGATTGATTGGTCAGTTTTGTTTTATTTTAATTTGGTTTTAGTTGTTTTGCTGTTGTAGCTTTCTAGTTCTTTTTGCAACCTGGAAATAAAACCAGCTGTTTCACGTTACTATTTAAAACATCTAGATGGCATGCTATACATGATCCGAGTATGTTTGTAAGTAAAGTATTGGTCTCCTCTAAAGTGGTGAGAATATTTATGGACTTCAAGGTCTCAAGAGTCAAGTGGTGTTTCAACAGGTGACCAAATTGTATGCTTTGTGGTCTTTACAGGTCAACATACAGAGCTGCAATATCCCAGGCTGACATAATGAACAACCAAGAAGCTGGTGTTCTATGTTGCTGGAGATGTAGGAAATACATAGCAAATTCTGTTTTTCTTGCAAAATGTAATGGGAAAAAAGCATCCAAAGTAAGTATAGCTTCTTCTAAGGGAGATTTTAAGTTCTTCTGGTGCCATTTATTTTAAATGAAGGAGAAGCATTAGACTTAGCCTCACGTTGTAGTTAATCTCTTGTAGAGGTACGTAGTGAAGTAGAGACAGTTCTGTAGAGACTAGTGGAGGAGGTAATTTTAGCGAAGCCGAGTAGGCAGTGATCACCTTCATGTTCTGCCACATGCGGGCTCATGCTCATGGACACTTGGCTACTAGCCTGTACAGAGCACTACCATTTCTAATATAAAAATGGGCTTTGGTTTTGATGGTTTTAAAGCAGTCTTTTTTTGTTTTAATATCTCTTAATGGACAACTCTTTATGTATAAGGTACATTTTAAAGACTGGTTCTAATTTCCACTGTGGTAGTTAACTGTGTGTAAAATATCCCTACATCAGAAAATTTTGCTCTTCATTTTTTAAATATGGACCATAGTCTGTGCACAAAAATAGCTCAGAAGATTAGTCTGCCCTGTGCAGGGTTATACCCTGCTCAGTAATTTATATTGTGTTTATTAAAATAAACAGAAGGATAATTACACAGAATAAAACCATGATAGAGTATTTCCTACTGTTTTATAACGGCAGCTACTAATCATAAAGAGCTAGGGTCTTCCCAAATGTGCCAAAAAAGATTACAGCCTCTTGAATCAAAGTTCAAAAGCAAATAGAAAAGAAGGTGATGATGTTTTCTATTAATGTGTTAGTAATGCAATAACATTCATTTGCACACTAGAGAGGGGTACAACCTGTAGATGTAGAAACAAAGTTAGCTTTTAAGATCATGATAGTATTATCAATAAAGCCCATTTTAATCACTCTGCTTACAGAGCTTGAAGTTCTGGTATAATTTTCACACTTTATATTTGAGGTTCTTTTGTGTGTGGTTTGAAGTGATTTTTAGGGGGGAATGTGGAAATTCCAACTCCTTCCATGGAAAAAAATGTAGTGAAAAGAAAAAGATACCTTTGTCCAAGCTCCCCATGGTGGAGCTTTTAGTTGTGAGTGGAGATCCACCCATCACTGTACATGACTGAAGCAGCTTCTTCTCCATTTATGTAGATAGCAAATAAAAAACTGTAATTTAACACTGTATCTAAAGAGATTGGGAGGGAAAGACAGTACTATGATGAGAAGACTGATGTTTTCAGTGTGTTTTTACAGATTAATTTTAGACCTTCAGACAAAGACATAGCTGAATAATGAATAAAAAAATGTGGAACAAATTTTAAAACAAATGTTGAAGTTAAAAACACAGTATAAACACTAATAATTAAGTGCATATTGAAGTGCAGGTGGTCTTCACAGATAGAACAAAAAGCCAGTGTAGACATGATAAATGGATCTGTCTTCTGTCAATACTTGGAGAATTTTAAGAGCTTCTATCTTCTGTCTATAGCTCCACTTTTAATTTTCAGCAGAATGAAATTTTTATTTCAATTACTTTAATAACATGAGTGTCAATAACTTTCCTTATTCATAAATTTTAACAACTGGTTGTGGGACTTTCTCACCCGAGTTTCCTTATAATTTTAGCCGTCCCCGTAACATTAATTTAGTTAGGTGATTGCTTTTATTTTAGTATCAATTAGTGAAATGCTACAAGTTTTTAGAGTTTTTTTCTCTTCACTTGATCACATTGATGCTGTAAAAACTCTAAAGTTGCTAAGATTACTGGGTTACTCTGTTAGTTATTCTAAAAAGAATTAGTAAATTAATTCTACTCATTGCATTTGTGCATTGCTGATCACAGGCTTCATGTAAACTACAACTTATATTTTTCTGTCTTTACTGAAAAATTATGCCAGCTGACAGTGATTCTACATTCAATTTCCAGGTATTCTTGGAAGACCAGCAAATGCATACTTTCTGTTCTTTTAAGCAAAACCAAATCACCTCCAGACACCTACGTTTCCACAGGAATTTGCCCAATATTCTTAGATTCTGAAATAGAGAATTACTGACAATATCTACCTGATTTTTAGCTTAAAGAAGCACATAATATTTGAGATTTATTATTTGTTAATGTTTACTGGTTTTGGGGAACTGACTTCTGGCTGTATTCGACGAAAAAAAGCTTACATAAATTCTGAGTATTGATGCAATTGTTTTATTAATAGATATCTCAACCTTCAGCTGCTGGTCAGAATTCTTACAATGTATGGCATGTGAACTTAGAAGCCATTCCAGAGTGGGTGAAATGTGTCATTGAAAAGGTAGATTTTTTTTTTTCTTGCATCTGCATTAATCAGCATGTAAAATAATTAAGGGGGACAAATTTCAAGGACATTATTCTGGCAAGGTCCATGTATGTTACAGAGACCTTATAACTGAGGGAATTCTTCTCAGGAACTTCTATCATTACCATTTACAGATGTTTTTTCCCTCTCTTAAATGTTGTTTATTTTTTATTTTTTTTTTAATATACACAGAAGTGCTACAAGTGATAAATTCTGTTTCCTGCTCTGTAACAGATGAATGTGTTTATGGTTGTCCAGATAACTGTGATGGGCATCTCTGCATGTTTGTCAATGCTTATTTATTACCTAGACTTTGGGGTTTGCTTTGTTTTGATCATCATATCTTGCAGTACTAACATATAGGTTGACAGTGACAACAGGAAGCATATTTCCCCATAGAAGTGGACTGCAGATTTATTAAGAGACCAGTTTTTGGAATACGTGTTTTATACTTAAGTCTTTTATACTTAATGTGCTCTTTTGTCATATGAATATAAAGTAGATACATTCCTGCAAATTCAAAGGTCTGATAACAAGCCAGTGTCACTGCTTTTGAGTTTTAACTGCCCATTTGTAAATTAAAAGCATCTCCTAAATTTCCTGTTGTACTGACTGCTTCAGTTGGTATTTTCTCAAAGTTGTTTTAGATCTAGAAGTTAATTTGTGGCATAGATACTAATAAGCAGTAGCAGTGTTTTTTGCTGCACAGATTTTCTTTAATGAATCTTTGATTTTGATAAGTAAATTTTATTTGCATTCCTTAGACTTCTCCTTAGACTTCAGTGTACAATTTTTCTGTATTTTAAGTAATTTCTGCCCTAAGCATACCCATACTGAAAATGATGCACAAAGAGAAAAAAAAATTGTTATGACTGTAGAACTAAACATACAGGAATTTAGAAAACCTTCATCTCCCTTCTTTGTATTGCGCTGTGTGGGGTTTTTTGGTTAAACATTAATTAAACTTTTTAATAGTGACCTCTTTTACTTCAATGCATATAACAGAATAGTTATGTTCAGAAACACTAATCTTGGAGGTGTGTTTGAAAATTACAGCTCATGAGTTATGAGTTATAGTATGAGTCACTTTACAGTATCGCCTAACCATGAATCTTTAATAATAAGAAGGCAGTTTTTTACAGGGTTTTTTTTGCCTCTTAAATTATTTCAGTATAATTGAATTCAATATTGATAGTAGTATTCTTTTCACTTTTAGCTTTTAAATTGTTCTTTTGCACCTTTAGCTTTTGCATTTGAAAACCTGGAAGGGTCAAACTGGGGACTGAGGAAATACAAAACCCATAGAATGCTTGACACCTTTGCTTAAGGCTGCAGAGGAGCAATTCTCCTCTGGTGAAAAAGGCAGACAATGCAATTCTTTGTGTACACCTTTGACATCTTTGTGTTCATTATGTCACTTAATATCCTTGGAACTCGTACCTCATTCACTTTGTCTCTTCTGGCAAGATCCTGTGTTCTTATGGGTAAGCGCAGGGGGATGCAGGGTGTTAAACAATTCTGACTTAGCTCCATATCCTCCTGAGCTCTGAATAATTTTGTGATCATGTGTTATTTTCTCCTGTATGACTCCTGAATCAAAGGCTAAATCATTTTGCATAAGCGCAAAGTCTATTTGCAGGCTGTAAAAACCCACTGCTTCCCAGTCGGTTCTTTTTTTGCCATCTGTCCCTGTTCTTAACCAATCTCCTTGGATTTCATGTACATATTAGTACAGTTAATCTTCAATAATTACAAATATGTAGCTGGTGCTGCTAGTGACCTTTATTGACCTGGATTTTCTGTTACCCATCACTTATCCCTTGTTTTGGTTTCTTTTTCTAACAATTTCTATTTTTTCCTCTTTATGTAGTCCGTCACTAGATCTGTGTACCCTCAGCTCCCTTCAGATCTTGCTGATTTTCCCCCTACCACCTCCTCCACTAGTAGGCTGTTACTTCTTTTACTGAGTCAGTGCTTCCACACTCCATTGCCAAACTCAAACTAAATCAGTCCCAGGCTCCTTGGTACTACACCTCATCTCCCAGTTTTCTGTGCACATGGGGCGTAGAGATGTCCTTTTTCTCCATACTGTGTGTTGCATGTGCATTTTTTCCAGGTGTTTAGCCTTCCTAATTTTCATGAATCATTCCACCTCTCAATTTGAAGATTCAGGATGCTATTCCATTCCAGAGACACCCAATCAAGTCAAGAGAAGAAAGTGCTTTTCTCTCAATTTTAGTGTCTAGCCCCTGGCATCTGGGAAATGGAGTGTAGGAGATTTAAAGAGTAAATCTCTGAAGAAGCTTAATTCTTCTTGGGGAATGGCCTGTGTACACACTGGTCAGTCTTATAAACTGAGAGCCATTGTGCATGTTTACAGAATTCTCAAGAATTTGAAAGCCTGTGATTGTATGTAAACAATTCTTTTTTCTCCAAGTTAAAAAAAACTGTCCAGATTTAAGTAGATTCTCATAGGTGCAATGAAAAACACATCTTTGATATTTTGTGTAATTTTGAGGTTTTAACCCACAAGGCAGGAGTAAGTTTCTCAAATAAGTGTTTCCAGAACTTCTAGCATTGTGTGTGAAAAATAACCCTTTTCCCACACAAGTTGCTGGGTTTTTTTCTGAAACTGCTAAATTAGTATTTCTGGCATTTTCTGTAGCTTTCAATAGGACAAGCATCAGTTATGGACATAGCTATCCAAATCACCTTGAAGGACATTTACAACTGAAAGCAATGCTTAAACTATAAATGTTGGGCAGCCTCTGTATTCATGGTTCTTTATACACTCAAGTGAGTAAAGTGTGACTGGAGTTGATAATGTTGTTTCTCATCTGGGCTTTGATCCCAAACACTTGCATAACTTTAGTCCTCAACAGAACTGTTGGCAGATGAATATAATTGCTTAAAATACCAACAGTTGTCTAAACATGTAGGAGGGCTAATAGTTGTATTAATATGTAGGCATTTATATATCTTTGATATGTATTTCCTTTTGAAAAAGTACCTTCAGGGTTGAAAAGAAATTCATGGAATTATAAATATTGAAAATTACTGTCTCCTTATATATAGAGTATTAAGGATTTGTCATGGTTTCTGCACAGAGATTATGTTGTAATGCTACATACACCAAAATACAAATACCATGTTAAGATTTTGTGGGGTAATCAAAGTTAAAAGCTATATTCTTTTCATAAGAAATCTTCTTCCACTGTACTTAGTATGCAAGAAATGTATCAGCGCTCAGAACACTGAGAAGCTGTGCTTGCCAATTCCAGATTAACATGGGAAATTGATTTCACTGCTTTAAAGATCTAATGTCTTCATTGGTATTGCAGCATTATTCTGTTTATGGACAAATTTTAAATATATTTCAAAGCTCGTACATTTTACAGTGTGTGTTTTAGTTTTCTTAAAATTAGTTATCCCTATAGCAAGCCAAGCTTTGACCAGAACATGATCTATAATGGATTTGCTTTCTGCTGTGAAGTGTCTTCTATTCTATTTGAAAAACAAGAAGAAAATCCTCTTACTAAAGGAGAAAATAACTTCAGTAATTATTTCTTGCTCATTTATTTTCAGTGAACATGTTGCGTGTTTTATTTTTTTTCTCTTTTTGTCAATAGGCACAGTGGACAATTGGAAAACTGCACTGTCCATTCTGTGAGGCCTGCTTAGGGGGCTTTAATTTTGTTTGCAACAAAGAATGTTCCTGTGGACAGTTAGTAAATATACATTTCTTCAAAACTTGGACTGAGGATCAGCCACCTTTCTCAGTTAATTTGTCAGAATCATCAGAGAAACATTTGCTTCTCAAAATTCAGTCTGGTTTTAACAAGGATACCTGCCATGAAGTGGTAACTGCAACTTTGGAAATCATAAATCAAGGGCTTTCCTACACAGCTAGAAGTAATAATGGTGCTGGAAGATTAACAGAAGCACTTTGTCTAGAAGTAAGAGCTCCCAGATATGAGATAGAAAACAAAAAACTTCCCTTAAAGGCATTAAATCAAAAAAGAAATTTCCCTTCTTCCTATCCTATAAAAGATGCATGCACTGTAAAACCTTTTCACAGGAGATCATGTAGCTTGGTTTTAAATATCAGAGAAAGGCTTGTTTTGTCACCCGTGTTATATGAAACTGGGTGCATGGGAACACTTTACTGTGGCCAGAATGGAAATCCACCTGCTTACGTACAAGGGAGCTTGCAATCAGAGTCGAGTAGGAAAGATGGTAGTTCTTTTCAGGATCTGTATAGTTCCAGGGATGACATACTACAAAACCAATTTCAAGTTACTTCCATTACCACATTACTACACAGAGACACTGAAAGTGAATGTGATTTTGAAGGTACTGGACAATCTTCTGGGAGTGTCATTGCTGATGGGTCACCATTTGTGGTGAATCTTTCCTCGCCTACAAGGGCTGTAGCAGACAAACAATACATCACACCGGGTAGTCTTGTGCAGCCTATGAGTATTTCCTTCAACCAAAAGCTGAGTAAGAGAGAAAGAAACAAATCTAAAAGCCTGAGGAGAAAACAAAGAAGGCGAGAGCAATATCTACAGAAGCAAGTAAGTGTTTAAAATTAATTGTGCTACTTTTTTGGTAAAGTTTGACTTGCTTTCTGATTTTTTTGTTGTTGTTGTTGTCTTTTAATACTGGATTAATGTGGAACTGTCTAGAGTCAGGTATCAGGCAAGCAAAGATGTATAACCCCTTCCTACATGTAGTTTTTTTCTAATTCCATCATATTAGGTTTTCTTTCTGTGCACAGTCAAAAACATGATGGGTTTTCACTGGCCTTCTTATTGTTTTGTGATGTAATAATAATCTGAAGTGAGAGAAAACACAGTGAAATTTAATCTGTGGGATTAAAGAAAAACTAAAAATTTGAATCTTCTGAATGAGGAACCCTACCATGTTAGAATTTTCTAACTTTAAACTAATGGCATTTTGGGTTAGCTTCATAGTTAAGAATGTTTTTATACATGTCTTTATTATTTCTTGTAAGATATTATTATATTATAAGAAAATATTTTTTCTATGATTAAAGAGTTGATTACTGCTATTTAAAATATTAGTCCTTAATAGGTAAGTATTTTGTCTGCAAATATTACACAAACTGTTATATATTCTTATCAATTGTACAGTAATGGTTTCCTTCTAAAACCATCTAAAGCAGAACAGAATTAAAGGCAATAGGCCGTCCCAATTTGTAGTGGAAGTCTGGGAAGGAAAGCCAGTCATAAAATGACTAACACAGTTTTGGTTTGCTCTCAAATTTAGTAGAATGACTAATGATTAATATGCCTTTAAAAGAAAATTTCTCATCATTAATTTCCTGCAAAAATAACTGTGTGGTAAGCAAGTGCAAACTTACTAACTAATCAGAGAAGTAGTATCTGCTCAAGCAATTATTCCTCCTTTGGGTAGATTTGTCATTGTGAATTCAAGATTTAAGAGAGATACTTAGAGGGATTCTCTCAATTATATGTGAGAACCAGCTTGAAAATGTAATGGGTCTGGGAAATATTATGATCCTTTCAGTATGGTGTGCATATATTCTTTCTATTTTACAAAGGCTTTTTGTTTTGCTTTAAGACTTAAACTGCTATTGAGACCTTTTGAAAGCTTGTTCTTGTAAAATGCCTCTTTAAAGCTGAGAATCTGGATGTCTTAATAGTGAATACTTGTTTTTTAATAAGCCTATAAAGTTTCTTAACTGTCCAGATCCTTAAAATGGCTTTAAAAATTCCAGATCTCATTGTTCTGGTAGGTGAAATGGTGCACAAGCACAATGTATATTTTTCATTTTCATTATGTCACCTACAGTCTCTCCAGACACTTTAATCTTTAGATGTTACTTTCAAGAATAAAACATTGTACAGATTTTCTGAATTTTTGTAGCTAAGGAAGAAAGATACTTTCAGACCTTTTTCTTGTTAAGGCATGCTTAACCTATTCCAACATTATTTTACTTACATTTGTTGAGATCTGATTGTTGGAGAGATGCGTCTACCCAAATTAAGGTGCAAATGAGACCATATGCTGAAAGCAATAGTATGAATTTCATTTAACAGTAAATGGGAGGTAGAGAGAGATAGAAAGAAATAGAAAAAGAGAGAAGGGGAGTGAAAAAGAGTGAGAAAGAAAGATTAAGTAAAAAGGTATCACCAACCATGGTTCCAGACATCATCCCACTGGTCCTCTTCTGGTCTTCTCAGTAGAGGAGGTCCAAGGTCCCCCAAAAACTTCTCCCCATTTTTACACTTCAGCAAACAAAGGAATCAATGCTCATTGGATATACAGTTCTCCTAGTCTCTTGGTTAAATGATCTGCTTGCTTCTAATGCTGATTAGTCCCACACTCAGTTTTCCTCTTCTTTTGAGTCATTGGACCATGGCCTCTTCCTTCTGAGCTGGACCCAGTCAGAGCTGATTGTCAGCACAGTTGCTGAGCTGGCTTTCCTTGTGGATTCTTTGTGTTCATTATCAGTGCCCCCCCAGCTCGTTTACCTCTTCCTAGTCTGAGGTAATTGGACAATATTACCACCTTCATCTTATCTCTAGTTCCTGTCATGTGACTTAACTTACTATCCAAATTTCCAGAAATTCACAAAGGCATATCCAACTGTGGCATGGGGGACAGGGTGGTAATCAATGAGCAGTTGCCTCGTGTTATGGTTTGCAAAAATGAGTGAAGTCCTTTGGTGATCTTAATGGTGTTTGGGGCAATTTTGATCTTTAAGTATTATATAGAAAATTATATACAGTTTATAAATGTTTGTTCTCATCAGTAAGCATAGTTTACAAAATACAAAAATTTCAAAATTAGTGTGTAAACTAAGTGATTGCTTTCAAGTAGTAGCTTTCAGAAGAAGATACTTTGGTTTGGGTTGATTATTTTATCCTTGGTGAGAGTTTGCAATCATGGCATGGAACATTTAAATGGGTCTATTTCCTAGACTATGTCAAACTGCACATGTGGCTACTGCAGCTGTGGTTCCCAGTGCTGAGGTGTCTTCCCAGGAGAATGTTATTCTAGACAGTCACATCCTCTGTACAGTCTGACGTATCATAATGGTTCTCTGCCATGCACTCCTGCACTCCATTTCTTTTTTTTTTTTTTTTTTGGCCAGTTTTGAAGTTTTTTTTTTTTTTTTTTTTTTTTTTTTTTTTTTTTTTTTTTTTGTGTTCTAGCAATCCTCCTTGTAAAAATGTGGATTTTGACACTCTGGTACTTCCAATAGAAAGCTGATCTGTGGTACTTTGTAACCATGTTTTCTAACACACTGTATGTGTTAAACCTCTGGCTGGATGGAGTGAAAGAGTTTTAATAAATGGAAGTGAGAAACATATAATTTAAGTACTTTTTAAAGAATTATTTCAGTGCAGCCAAACCCTGATGTGAAGTAAATATTTTCAAAGATGTTCCGAAAGCATTGAGCATATCACTTTTATCTTTAATTAAAGCTTTTCTGGAGAGCAGTCAAAGATAACAAACCTGTTCAGACTTTGGAATTTCTTTGTAAATATAAGGGCTGCTTTATTTTGTAACAAGATAAGTATCTGTCAAAGGTTTTCTTCTGTCTTGTAGAAAAGCAAAGTGCAACCATAAATATTGTGTGGCAGCAGAATGTACTCTGTCATTAAATTGAACATAGGAGTGATTCTGTGAGCTCCTGACTTGCACTTTGTCCAGAGGCTTGCATTAATGGAGGTTCTGAGGTGTAGGAGCAGGACTGAACTAGCTAGCTAACAGCAGAGGGACCCGGGATGCTTGAATTTTTTATGTGTGTGTGCACATCTGTGTTCATGGGGGATTTTTAGTCTTCTGTTAGGATATGATTATATTGTTAGCACGTGTTAATTATGTAAATTGTTAGGTATAACAGTAGCTACTTAAGTCTAGGAGTTGCCAATATTAGTAATGATTCTTGTTATGGTTGCTGTAGCTAAGCAGATGAAGTACGTCTTTTATCAATTCCATTTTGTGTGTATCTTATATGTTTACATTGTTTGCTAATGAGAAAGCTTGTATTCGTTTTCTGGAAGATCTCAAAAAATACAATTTGTGATTTCTTCAGATACATTGCTTTTTTTCTCACAATCATTTTACATAGAGGAAGGCTCTGCAGTCAGCTTCAAAACTGCAGTATCCTCTTGGAAAGGATCCTGATTTGTAGGGAAAAAATGCTGACGGTCTTGCTTCATTTCTTAATGACACTTGACTGGTTCTTTTGAATCTTTTTGAAAACATCAGTGTTTTGTCTGACAAAGATGGCTAGTGGTCAGTTTCCAAAAAGTCAGTTTGCTTTTCCTGCTCCCAGTGATAATCTAAACTCCAGATAAATAGGTGGGTGATATATAGCATTGTTTGTCCACACTGTCAGGTGCTGTTATCTTGCCCCACAGCCTTGACTTTTTCAAGTTCATACTGATACCTTCTAGCAACCGAGAGTCTTGTAGTGAAAGTGCTAGGCTTTCAAGGTTTAGCTTGTGACCAAAGTTAGCTTCAGCTATGCAAGTCTTTTGTTAATGAACACAATACTTTACAGTTCTTTTTCTTGCATGGTCATGTTTTTATTGAAATTGTAAATCCTTCATGTGTCTAGTTATGCATTTATGTACTCGGATTTCATTCACTCTTTCTGTGATGATGCTCATAACAAGATTTATTCTCAGTTTGCATATGGATCTCTCAGCTGGCCACTGGGGGGCTAAAAAGATACATGGAATAACTGCTGTTGGTTGTTGTATCATAGAAAGATAAGAAAAGTAAACCAAATTAACTGCGGCTATCTGGTCAATTAGAGAAATTGCTGTCACAGCTAAACAAAGTAAAGCTAAGGAGCAAGCAGGGCAAGGGGAGTCAGCTGCAGCAAGCATGGCTAGCCTCAGCCCTGATACCTTTCAAAGTCAGTGCTGAGCTAGTGGTTGTTCTTACAGCAGCAATCCTGCATTACAGGGTAATGCATGTGGGTACGTGAAGTATTGTCTTTTTTAACTTCCTGAATAAAGGAGGGGATAAATTTTGGGCTGCAAAAAATTGTTGCAGCTGAGCTGAAGTTTCTCTTTGCTTTTGCTCTGGTTGTAACTGTTGTTGCTACATGACCTTTGTTATTAGCACATTCATTCTGTCACTAATTATAACTGGATTAAGAAGAAGGTATTAGGAATGATGGATTCATGCCCAAATGCATGACATACTTTTGCAAAACTGCAGTTGTGGTTTCTGTGGAAGTGGTAGCTGTGTAAAATAGCATGTAACAGCTGCTGTTTTCTGAGCTGCACCTGAATCTCCTGTTGCAAGCATTTAAATGTCAACATTTTAGAGTTTTAATTACTTTTAGCTGCAGTGTTTTAATGCCATTATTTGTGATTACAGCTTTTAAGGGTATTTTCTGACCTGACATCTTCTACTCTTTGACATGACTTCTACACAGCTTGGTGTTAATAATAAGTGAAATAGATAGTTTTGCAAATTTGTAGGAAGAACTTTTGCTTGCATTTGGTTATGAGTTGTGTTGTAAGCAGCACTTGTGTTGGGAAGGAGGGAAAATTGCTTAGGA